TTCACTTGAGAAGAGGCGCGCCTACGTGGCACGATCCTAGCCGTCGAATCATGCCGTGGTGAATCGGACGGTCGATCTAACCGTCCGACGTGTTTAAGTGGCGCGCCGATGCGCGCCACATGTCTGCCACGTGTCAGAACGACACCCAATGATTAAAATTGATTAAAAATCAATTTAAAAATCATTTAAAATGCTCAGAACTTTAAAAATTCACCAAAAATCCATTTTATGTCCAAATTTGATGTTCTTGGGTTCATTAGAACCGTCTTGATCCCAAGTTTATTTTAAAATTTTGTTTGGATAAGTTTAATCACTGTATACAGAGTTATTAAGGGTTTATGTAAAATTGGATTTCTTTGATAACTCTCAATCCAATGATTAGATTGTTCTCAAATTTGGATATGATATGCTATGGTGTATTATCCATATGCCATAAAAGTTTTAATTTATTTTAATGGCTGGATTTTGGTGAATTTAATTTTCAAAGTGTTTGGCTAGATTTTGACCCAAAACTTTGTAAATTTATAACTCACACACCACTAAGGACTAGTCTTGCCTTTCTCGGTGGTATGTGTGATATAGTGTTAGGGTTAGATGAACAAAGATTTAAACTCATTTGAACACTAGTATCACCTAGGAAAAATAATTAAGGATAATGTCTAATCAACTTAAAAAAATCCTAGAAAATTCTACACACACTCAATAGGGGTGAAACTTGAGAACATTAAACTTAGTGACAATATAAATCTTAGGTTCAAATCTCATCAAATTTGGAGTTCATTAAGTCAAAAAATTAAACAAGTCAAAATTAACCCCTTAATTAAGCTTTAAAATTTCCAAAAATTTTAATAAATCAAGTTTAAATCCAAAAAATACAAAAAACCCCTCTAACTGATCAGAATTAAACTTTTAATCAATGAAAATTGAAATCAACTCAATTTGACAGCAAATCTGGCTTTAATTTAATTTTAAGTGAAATTTAATGTTTAATTAATTTAATTAATTAAAAAATATTTAAAATTCCAGAAAATTTCCAAACTCTTGGGAATCTCTTCTTAGGTCATTCCTGACCTTTGTAATTGATTTCAAGAAGTTTGGAGTTCATTTGGAACAAAATCATTAAAACCCCTTTAATTAAACAATTTTAATAATTCCAAAAAAATACAAAACTTTAAAAAATCATAACTAATTCTAGAAAACTCCAAATTGACCAAACTCAATGGCATTCAACTCAAAATCAAGTCTAGTATTTATTAAAAATTTCAAACCTTCCAAAATCAGTCAAAGTCAAAAAAGTCAACTTTTTGGTCAAACCTAAGTCAAAATCAGTTCAAAACTTCAAACCTTCGTAACTAAATCCAGAAAAATCCAATTTCAGTGTACTTACAGTCTAACAGATCGTATTAAGGTCTAATATTTTAATAAAATACTAACTTTATAGAAAAATCTCTTAATTGAAAAGTTAACTTTTGACCCCTTAATTAAATGATTAGAATAATCCAAAAAATTTCTAAAATTTGATAATTGTCTTAAAATTTCAGAAATCATTAAACAATCTTAAAATCAATTTCAAATAATTAATACTTAAACTTAAATTTAAATCTTCCCTTAAGCCTTTCAACCAATCAAAACTTCAAACAACTTTAATAAATTGCCCTCCATAGGACATATCCAAACCACTCGGCCTACCTCACACACTTTCGATGGTTTGCTAGGACAACCAACTCTAGTTCTAAGCTAGGCCGGTGTTTACTTTTCTGCTGTGTGACGGGTTTTCGAGCTTTCACTGCATGTTGGTTGTTAGCTTAGAATTGATTGAATGTATGTTTATTTATTTACTACACTCTGTTGAGCATTTAAATTTCAAATATATTAACTGCTTGAGATTAAATATTAACTGTTTGAGATTATTTATATAACTGCTGATTATTAGGATAACCCTGCAGGATCGAGTCTAGATTTTTCAATTTTGATTAATGTAAATTTGATTTGATTTGAGTTGTAATTTCAAGTGATTTGAGATGGGATAAAATCCAATTTAGAATTCAAAGAGGAATGGACATCCCTTAGGGGAGAGTCCCTATCCATTTGGAGCTCAAAATTATGATGATTTTAAAATATCCAAAGAGAAAAGATAACACCCCTTCCAAGGAGGACTTTCTTTTGATTTGGATATCCGGACCCGACAATCCAAGAAGCAGCTGAAGGATGAAGAAGTGGATACGAGAAGACCTATTCTCAAAGTCACTTGAGTCTTAAGATTAGAAATTCGGGTTGTTGTTAGTGGTGCCCGGCCACTTTACTTTTCTGTAATTCTAAGATGTAATATTAAAGGCACTTGCCTATGGACTTTAAGTTTGAATATTAATTTAATTGATTTGATTAATATTTGATGTTGATTGCGATATATGATTGTCTGCTTTTTATTGTTTTTTGGTGATTCTTGCATGTCGATTTTGATTTAGCCTGGAACCAGATCGTAGGCTCTTAAGGACTCTTTAAAATTTTTCTACTTAAATCAAATTAAAACATTTAAGCCCATATAGAAATCCTAACGTTTTAAGAAGTAAGCCCGGGACCGCCGGGAGTTCTCATTTCAAAAGTCTTAATTCAAATTCAAGTATTTAATCGAGTCAATCAGCATGCATTGCATTAGTAACAGATTTAAAAATCTCTAAAACTTTAATTGCATTAGCTTAAGCATCAAACACCCAACATAAGTCTAAGGGGTCAATTAAAGATCTGCTCTAGATGTCGACCCCATTCCTTTAAACTTCTCTAAATAATGTCCCTACCACTCAACATTAAAAGACCGGATACATATTTTAAAAGCGCCTAGGTGATTTAGCTGGCTCCCCAATCCAGGCCGGGATAAGTCCAGATTTGCACTACATTAGCTAGGTTCGGGTCACTTTTAAGTACCCAATTTAGACTTAGGTTTCGAGGCAGGCTCGGGCTATAAGACCTCAACCTCAGGGAATTGAGTCCCAATTTTCTAATAAAATGGACCACTCAAATTAAAAATCTCTTTTAATCAAATTTGATCCCAACACTTAGGATAGGCTGGGGTGTTTCTAAAGTAATTCAGAATCTCAAAACACCTCCTACCCTTCTTCCATTAATTCCAGAAATAAGTCTTCAATTTTGAACCAATCCCGATTGAAAATTCCAACCTTTACCTCCTTTGACATCCAGCTTTGAAAATCTTAAATAAAATTTCTAACGCTATTTTAATCGAGAGTTTTCGTAAGAAAATTCCAATTTTGCTACGATGTAATTAACTACGAGGGCTTGCACTCGTAGGAGATTTAGAAACCCAGACCTGATTTTCAAAATTAAGTTTTCAAAACCTCTAATTAATTATCTTTGGGAATTCAAACAAAAATGGCGATCGTTGTCGTCATATTCAAATAATCGGTAATAGTTAATATCATCTTTCTTCAGGAAGATATATTATTTTATTATCATTATTTTGATTATGAAATTAATGATATCTTATCCGAATTATTATAGTTAGACAATTAATTGAACGTCATTTTGATCTTTCGAGATCATATGTTGTTCCCCCTTGAGTTTGACTACGATAATTCGGATGAATTTAAAATTCTGAAATTTGAACCCATTAGGGAACGATATGATCACCTCCCGAGGCGATATACTGTTCATAATGACGTGTTCAATTTCAAAATTCAAAATTTAATATTCCCAAAGAAAATTAATTCTTTTTTTTTAAACTATATTTTTTCAATCAAACGGCTTCTATTGTTAAATTTTAAAACAAAAATGATGTTCTTTCCCTTTTCTCAAGGATAAGATCTCTAACCTCGTTGAGCTCCATGTTCAAGAATCCATAGGAACTATTAACTAGCTTTAAAATGCCATCCTACCTCTCAAATAACGATGATAGCAAGTTTAAGGCAAGGATCTTATGGCCAAACTTAATGTTCATAGAGCTGCATTACCTCTTGTTGATGAGATTGGGGCATAAAATGGTCGTGTGGATTTAAAATACTCCAATAAAAAGAGTAAAAAATACCCACACCCGCAAAATCTATAAATAGCTCAATTTCAACAAAATTTGGATAGATTTTAACTCAAACTTCTAGAATCACGGATCATATAGAATTATATACCTTTGATCACTGGCTAGCGTACCAATCAATTATTTTTATTTAAGGTAAAAAAATCCTTTCTCTGTAAATATTCTAACACAACAACTACTCTAAGTAATATGATATTTAAGTCCAGATCTAAATATAAATATCAATGAGCCTAAAACTCGAAGCCAAGCTTCTAGATAGCTAATTGTCATATTTAATAAAAGTGATTAAACACAAAGATCACTGAGCCTCAACCTAGAAATTAAGCTTTTGGCTGGTTGGTAATCACTTTTAATAAAAGTGATTCTGGCAAAAAGAAAAAAAAGTGCTTAAGAAAATTCTTAAAGTAAAAGCATGCAGATATAAGAGTGTCTCAAAAGAGTCTTAATGTCCTTCATAAATAATTAGACCCACCAATTAAATAATTGGAATCTGGCTTTGCAATAAACGAGGAGAATAAATTAAATAAATCTAATTGTAACTCACAGGGTGTCAATATTGGAACCAACTCCAAACTCCAAAACTCAACTCAAATCATATCAAAAAAATTTCTGTTTGGGTCAACCCATTAAATAATAGGGTAAAAATGACATATATGAGTGCATGAAATAAAATATTAAAGTTTAAAAAAATGGTATGAGTGGTACGAATGAAATATATGAGTAATATATTTGATATTAAAGTTTTATATGAGTGGTAGGCATGTAATATTAAAATTTTGGGGGCTAAATATACAAATAGCATGAAATAAAGTGGCATGTAAGTAAATTCCCCTAGATTTATCTGATTATATTCGAATCAGATCATTTTCGCTAGAAATAAATAGGACACCTCATTGTCTGCCTATCGTGATAAATGCGACCAATATGTGTGGCTTTCCATCCATACAGCAAGCACAACTTCAAAAAGCATTTACTAGGTCAAGCAAAAACTCGCTTTCCAGTTCAAATAGTTCAAAGCTTCTTATAACACAAAAGTTTTCACTTTTCACACTACAGGATATCTTGTTGGTGTCGTTATTCAAACAGGCGACCCACCTGTGTTGAAGGTGGGTGGAATTTGGTTCGGTTGGTAAGCGCCGACACCAATAAAAGCAGAAAATTGGAACCTTGCAATGGAGTTGTGCTTGCTAGGACTAAACTTCAATGACTGCTTTTTAAGATCGATAGATAGATAAATATCTGAACTTCTATCTGTACTTCTGCTATTCCTTTGTCATACTGAACATGCACAAATCTGTTCCTATATAAAAATATCTAACGAATCTAATAAAAAATTAGGACATATAGTGCAGACAAAAGAAAAGCAGAATCTAAATTCCATGATCCCACAAGCTAAAAAGTGCAGAATGAGACGGAAACATCTTACAAAATTTGACGCCTTTCTCACCAATTGCAGGCTCCGAATCACACAGATCTTGAAAAAAGGCACCGATCCGCATTTACGAATGCAAGAATCAAGAGAGGAAACCTGGAATGAAACGAAAACAGAGCGTGAAAGGAATTTTGTTGCCTCCTGATTCTAGTTTCCTATGATTGAAATGCTAAATTTTCTTCAAAATGGAGCAGAGTTCGTGGATGACCCTAAAAAGCCTTCGACTGTTCTTAAGAAAAAAAAAAAAAGTCAAGGGCTTTCGAATGTTCGTGGAAAAAGACGGCTATAAATAGAATTTCCTAACTTTACCTTACTGCCACTGTCATCATTTTATATTTACGAAAACACCACGCTTCCATCAATTCCGGCGAAATTACGATGTTCCAATTAGCAAGTAAACGCGTTTTTTTTTTCTTTCTGTATTTTTTCTTCTGATATTTGTCCTCAACCTCGTTAACTCAGGCTCGCGGTCGTTGAAATTTCTACTCTGATCTTTGCTCTCTTCGGCAAAAAAAAAAAGAAGCTTTACAACCCCTCATTTCGATGAATTAGATGGCTGAACATGGCGAAGAAAAGCTCATAGAAGTCGCCCGCCACATCGCCAAGACACTAGGCCGCACGGACACCATGGCCAACGACATCCTCCGAATCTTCTCCGACTTCGACGGCCGCTTCACCCGCGAGAGACTCGCTGCCAATCACCACCCAAGCGGTTCCATCAGCGACGAACAAACCACTCCTATCACCTTTTCCTCAATCGACCGCCAGATCTCCCTTTTCCTCTCCTCCGACCGCTCCATATGGTCGGAGGCCTCCGATGCCGCTGCCTTCCTCGACGCTGTCGACGCCCTCATCGCATCCGTACGCGGTCACAATTCATCGCCGGCAGTCAACCGCGCCGACGATCTCCTACAGCAGTGCATGCTCCGGCTCGAAGACGAGTTCCGCTCGATGATAGAGCACCCTTTCGACGTCTCCCCATTCGACCCTGTCCCACCTCCGGAGTTAGATTCTGACGGCGAAGATGACCCGATCCCGGTGGCGCCACCAGTGACAGACTATGATTTTTTCATTGACGTTCTCCCGCCAGGAACCCTCGCGGACGTTCACGAGATAGCGAAGCGAATGGTCGCCGCCGGGTTTGGTCGAGAGTGCGCCCACGCGTATAGCCTCTCCCGCAGGGATTTCCTCGAGGAAAGCTTCTGCCGTCTAGGGATCCGCCTTCGCACTGCCAACAAAGTCGAGCCAGCACCGTGGACTGAGCTTGAGAACGACATCATTCGCTGGGTTAAGGGCACGAACGTAGCGTTCCGCATTCTTTTCCCCAGCGAGCACCGCCTTTGCCGACGCATATTTTCCGGCTCGACCGCCATCGCTGACCTATCCTTTGCAGAAGCGTGCCGAGGCCCAGCAATCCAGCTCTTGCGATTCGCCGATGCAATTGCTTCTGCGAAACGTTCGCCAGAGAAGCTCTTTCGGATGATTGACATGTACGAAGCTTTCCGAGAAATAGTCCCGGAGGTCGATGCTTTGTTCTCCGATCAGTACTCGGAGTCCCTTCACACCGAGGTCTTTACCGTCTGGAAGAAGCTCGGGTCAGCGATTCGGGGGATTTTCACCGAGTTTGATAACTTGATCAGGCGTGATCCAGCGACGGAGGCTGTTCCAGGCGGCGGATTGCATCCTATCACTCGCTATGTGATGAATTACCTCCGCGCCGCCTGTGACTCATGGCGAACGCTGGAGGGAGTGATGGACGAGGACGGATTCCGCGCCGCGGCTGATCCCAGGCCGGAGCAGAAATCTTCGCCCTTCGCGGCACAGATTGCGTGGATTATGGAGGTTTTGCAGGGGAATCTGAAAGCGAAGGCGACGATGTACAGGGAACCAGCGCTGAGCTGCATTTTCTTGATGAACAATTGCAGGTAAGTTGCTGTTAAAGAACGTTGCGATCCCTCAGATAAATTATAATATTTTGAGCCTAAAAAATTATTGAATTTATTTAATTTATAAATTTTTATATACTTTTGAAGTAGATTTAATAAATTTTAAACTTATTTTGCTGTAACTTTTTCTAAAATTTAAATAATAATTATTAAATATTAATTTATAGATTGCATTCAGCAACTAATTAAATTAGTAGAAATAAATATGTCTGTTTCCTAACTGCCTTTTTTTAAAAAAAAAAAAACAAATTTTTACAGAAATTTGAATACTATTTATTAAATAATAACTTAACTTTCACTCATTTTAAATAATTAAAAAAACTCTTATTTTTTTAATACATTTATAGTGTTCTGTAACTTATTTATTCTAGAACTTAGAGAAGTTTTCTTGGAAACAGGTATATGATGCAGAAGGTAAGTAGCAGCAGTGAATTGCTGATGTTACTGGGAGAAGATTGGATCCGGCGGCAGGCGGCGATGGAGCGGCAGTGGGCGGCGAAGTACCAGAAGAGCTCATGGGGCAAGGTTATTGCGGTGCTTCGAATCGACGACGGCGGTGATTTGCCGACTGCTGAAGTGATGAGAGAGAGGCTTAGGATGGTGGATGTGTACTTGGAGGAGACCAGGCGAGCGCAGATGGACTGGGTGGTGGTTGACGAACGGCTGAAAAAGGAGCTGAGGGTGGCGGCGGCCGGAATCATATTGCCGGCGTACAGGCGGTTTCTCGAGGTTTACAGAGGACTGCTGGAGGAAAGAAGACATGGGGAGAAAAATTTGAGGCATCATAGCCCAAGGGAAGTGGAGATGAAGATCAATGAGCTGTTTGAAGGAAGCAGGAGACCATAGATGTGAACTGTGAAGAAGTTATAAGCTTTATTATTAAAGATGATACTTTAAGAATATTTTCATCATCATTTTAACAGTGATTAACATAGAAAGTGATGGGTTGCCCTACAACTTGTATCAGGCTTGGTGGTATTAAATTGGGCTTTGATAGGATGAAAAAGGAATATTAGGAAATAAAATGAAATGTACTATAAAAAAATATAGTATATATATTTAAAATATATGAAATTATTTTGATGAGAATAAAATAATATAAATTATTTTTTTATTATTTGATTTGAAATAAAATAAATATAGTGTAACACTCAATAATGACGGCAGCTAATGGTCGGGGCACATGCAGAGAAGATGATCGGTGGTGAAAGGCCAGTGACAACTAGGGGTAGAAGATATGACGGTTAGTAGCAACAATAATATAAAATTTATAATATATTTGAAATAAACAAATTTAATAAATTTTAAATATATTAAAATTAAATACTACGATAAGTACAAAATATTGCAAATTTTTACTTTGTAATATTCAAATAATACTATATTTAAAACTCATGCATTCGAAATATTTTTAACACTATTTTATATATGTAAAGCCAAACCGCCCCTTCCTTAATGAACACTGATGGCGAGATATGTTTTTTGGGAAAACTAAGGCCGAAGCCAATCTCTTAATGTGAATCAACATTTACATTATACAAAATTCAAAAGAAAGAACCAGCTCAAAGCTAATACACTGAAAAACAAGGGCGGAAAATTATGTACTTGTGAGGGAGTGAGGGGGGCAATTGCATATTAAGGGTTATTTGTAATATGTCCTTTAACCTATTTTTTCACGGAATTTGTTCCTCTAAAAATAAAAATAAAAATAAAAAAGCCTCTTGACTTTCTGTTATTTTCATCCGATTATGTTGAATTTTTCGAACACTAACAAATAAGTTTGTGAAAAGCTATTATCTGCAAAATAAATTATTTTTACACCCTTATAGTTATATATATATATATATATTCTTTTATAAATTTACCCCTAAGAACTAAAGTTGGTTCCGCCCTTGATGAAAAACAAGAGCTAAAACAAAAATATAGAAGGAAATTCAAGTAAAAAAATAACAATTGGACTCATAATAGGGAAAAATTATTCTGTGCGGACGCAGAATGCTGTCCGGCAATCAATCAGAATGCGTCATGTCACCCATGTTCGGTACCGCTAACGTGATTGCACTTGATTCGTCTCTAGAGATAGAGCTGCGCTTGACGTCCGCACAAAATAATTTCTCTATAAAGTGACCAAAATTTTTTTAACACGAGAAACATAGACGTTAGAAGTCAATAGGTGCAGCCTTGGTTGCCTGAATGACTCCAAGGGCCCTATTTGAAGCAGAAAAAAATTTGTCTCTGGTTGCCAACGAGGCCGTCGCAGGCTGCCAAAACCAGTTGGAGAAATCATTCCTCCTTGTCCAGAGAAAAATACCATATAATTCGAAGAAAAACATGCGGACAGTAACTTACGAATCCCAATTAGCAGTTTTTAGTTGAATGGCTATTGAAACATCACGAGCAAGAGACGTTTGACATATAAATTTTCGCTCAAATTTTCTTTCGTTTCTTTCCCTCAATTCCTGCTTTGCAATTTGCTTATAAATGTTCAGTTATCATCAGGATGTACAACGGTACTTCCCCTCTTTCCTCTTGGCTTCTCCATAAATACAGATCTCCATGGAAACCGGCTCCTGCCAATGCTTCTAAATTCTGGAAATCCATATGTAATATTGCTGTTGAAGCTAAACCATGCTTTCAGTTTAAAATCAGGAACAATGCTCCTATTTCTCTGAAATGGGATCACTGGTGTCATAATATCACGTTAGGTGAGTATACTGGAGATGTTTCTCTTGACACTATCCTAAATTGCTTCTTGTATGAGCTCGTTCCTGGAATCTCCCATGGCATTTTTCTCCTATGTTGCATTATGTGTTTAATGGTATTAATTATATTGACAATGCTGGCCTTGTTTGTTTTGGAAAAAACAAAAATAATTTTAGATTCAAACAATATATAGATGAGTTTTACTTTGATTTACCAGACTGCAACTGGTATAAATTGGTATGGCATAAAAGGCTCATTCTCAAGCACTCGGTCTTTGTATGGCTTGCCTTAGTTGGGGGTTTAAAGACTCCTGACGCTCTTCATATCAGACAAATTCATGTCCCGGTTAACTACTGTTTATGTCATTATCATGCTGAATCTGTTTCTCATTTGTATTTTGAATATTCATATTCTTTCTCTATTTTGAAAGCCATTATTCCTGGGACATAATGTTTTCTTATGAGACCCTCGATTATGCAATATTCTGACTAGTTAACTGGAGAATTTTATAGTAAACCTGAGGAGTTGAATTTCTATAAGTTGGCAATTGGTTGTATTATTTACTATATTTTGAGAGAAAGGAACAGTAGGAGGTTTGGTGGGAACTTCCAATGCTTTACTTCTGTTATGCTAAGCATCAAAAGAACCCTGTTTGAGAAGATTATGAAATGGAAATGTGCATTAGAATTGCTGGAAAAACTATAATGCAGCTGGATTTATTTTCGGGCCCCTCTATCCCGTCGATTTTCGCCTGCAGTATATGCCATGTCTGGACGATGATGAAGCTCCCACAGCAGGCCCCTTGGATGGTCTTCGGGCAACCAGGGTTCCGATATTATTTTGAAGCTATTTTAATATCTTAGTCCAGACATTTGGCCTGGGAGGAGGTTTTTCTGATTTTGGCTGCTTGTTGCTTGTCAAGTGTTAGCCATCATGTTACGAGGGCTTCTGCTGGTTTTGGCTTTGTCTACCTGGAGATTACTGAGCATTGTTGTTGCATTCCTGCAGTTGGTTCTACTGCTCGGATTGCAGCTTGTCCTCAATATTTTTTGAGTCTTCTATCATGTTTTGGTTCTCAATTTGATTTTTTGGATGTATTGGGTGATATAGTTGGGATTTTTTACATCAGTCATTCATAAGTTTTTGTCTTTGCTTATGTTGCGAAGCTTTTACATATATTTACTTTTTCTTGTAACATTTTCTTTTCATAGTAATATATGGGCTTAGGCCCCAAATTTTCAAAAAAAAAAAAAAAGTTTCCCTGCTACATCAATCTCAGATAAATCCTCAATAAGTTCGAATATCTGCAAAAGGTTTGGTCTAAACAGAAATGGAGTAGCATGAGGAATAATTTGTCTAAGAAGTCTCATTCAAAGAATAGATGCAAAATATTCTCAAAGCTAACAGAGCAAAGAGAGCAAATGGCATGAATTTCGTAGTGTTTAAAAGTAAGAAATGTTATCCTATCTTCATTTAAGAGGCTGTTTGATGGCTTGAAAAGAAAATGTAATGTAAAAAAGAATGCTTTGAAGTTGATTGGATGATTATAAGAGAAATAAATGAGATTATTTTTTGTTGTTTGGTTTGAATTAAAATAAATGCGATATATAATATAAGAAGTTGTGGTTGGGGTGGCCAGTGGGTGGCCCACAGTGGCCGATGGTGAACGGGAAGTGAACACCGGATGAGGAGTAAACACCACAATAACAAAACAAGCAAGAAAGTAAAAGCATCGGAAAATAAATGACACCAAGATTTAATATAGAAAAACCTAAAATAGGAAAAAAAACTATGGAGCCAAATCACCAAAAAATCAACTATGAAAATTAGGAGAAATAAGTACAGGCCTCTCTTCTCTCTCCTTGCTTCTATTATCATATGCTTCGTTCTCTTTATACATTACATAAATACAAGAGAAAGACGAGTAAATAACTCCAATGGATGCAACTCTTTATAAAAACGGGAAAGAAAACTCTTTAGTTCGTCTCGCAGCACTGCGACGCTCAAGCCACTGTTTAATGACGCTACGACGCTCAAACTCGCAACGCTATGGCACCAAGCTTGTAGCACTGTTTCTCCTAATCCAGAGCATTGTGGCGCTCTGCTATCTGTTGATTAGTGCTAGGGCGCTCTGAAACATAGCACATGGGTGCTCAAGTACACAGAACTAGGGCGTTGTACAAAAATAATTGGGTGCAAAACTGGTGGTAAACCCACCGCACCCGGCCCCCAACAAGTACTATAAACTTGAGGTCTGCAACAACATAACAACTTGATTTATTAATACAATCAAATTCCACACATAACAGATGGTAGCCGACGATGAGTTTGTAGTGTATTGAAAATCACCTAAATCTAAAGAATTCCAAATACATTGAGTTTGAATCAGATTGTGAATTTTATTTACTTCAAAATTTTACTCTACATTCATTTTATTTCAAACCAAATACCAATATTTTTAAAATCCTTACATTTTAAATTCTTTACATCCCAATGCACCAAATCAAACAGTCCATAAGTTGGCAGATATTCTCTTCAGGGACTTGAACCTGCTTGGATCACAGCCAGACAAATAGAAGAGCAATGACACGATATACACGTCGTGTATACATACTTGTATTAAAAGACGTGATAAACGTTCGTCTTGTGAGAGATCTATCTAAACTTCAACTGAACTTGTTAGCTCATGAGGAATCTCTTTTAAAAAATATTTGAATTCAAAAATTTAAGTATAAAGCTAATAAAATATTTAAAAATTATATCAAACTTCATTATGTCAAGTGATTGTTTATTAATTATCTTCTAATTTCTTATTTTTGAAATAGCCTATTGTGCTAATCAGATTCTCATCAAATACAATGGAGAAGGTTTGCCATAACAAAACCAGATACAGCACTAACTAACGGGAGAAAGCTGCCATACATGCGAGCAGAGGAGCTTGAAGTAGAGTTATCTGGCTTGCTGATATATGCAGTGCAGTTAAGCCCTTCCTTACCATCTTTGCATTCAGACGAAAAAAGACCAGCCGGGTACTTTCCATATTGGTTTATGTAGCTGAACATGACAAAAGAACAGTCATTGGTTAGGACATTTAGCTGATCTGCGTAAGGGCAAGCAAATTCCTTGAAGGCTGAACAGCAGGGATTGGCAGCATATTGGGGTCCCTTGCACTTGCTTGTAATGATTGTGTAGTTCATGAACTGAAAGTTGATTGGGCAATCTGAGAAGACAAAATATAAATCATGGATTTGGTTTGTTCAAATGTGAATAGAATGACTGAAAAACTACTCTCAGTTGAAAAAATAATGATAAGAGTAGTCTTTCTAAAGTTTATCTCCCGAGTTTCTCATCCTCATTGAATTTAAAAGTGATATATCATAAAAAAAAAAATAATAATCTTGATCGGGCAGTATCTCGAGGCAAAAATCAAATTGAAAATTTCAAAAATTAAATCTGAAATTATATGAACTCTGATTTCAGCAAATTTATAGTCAAACTGAAATTCTAAAAAATATGAACCCAACGACACCAAATTCGACCCAATCCGAGCTCAAATTGGTCCAAATCAAAGAGCCGAAGCGCATTTGGAAGGTTCGAACCATAATTTTGATTACTAAACGGTTTCCAAATGTGACATGTTTATAGTCGAATCGAGCGGCTCGACGAGACGAATCCAACGAGCCTAAGATGGCCTAATTATGATTTTATTAAGACATTCAAATACCCAATAAACGGTTCACAATCAAGGGATTCCATATCGGCCGTCCATTCAAACCACTCCCAATTTACCCTTGATCTTCCTCATATTTACTATCCATGCCATTCTCATAAAACTAAAAATAGACTCCTCATTTTTCACGAGGGGGGGCCCATGCAAGAAGAGAAGAGAAGGAAGAGAAGAGAATAAAGAAAGATCTCTTGTCATCAGACTCCTCATCCACCGCCAAACTTCCACCGGCAAGCATCAGCTGATTGACGCTGTATTCCTTCCTGGCTGCTGACTTACGCCGGAGTTTTGCTCAACAGCTGACTGACACAGAATTTCTACCTAACTGTCAATTGAAACCGAATTTTCGCCCGACCACCAAAAGTCTCCGGATTTCCGATCTCTACTTGTAACTGAATTTCAACCAGGGGTTGATTATTGTAATTTGATCATCCTTAATTTCAAGAACAAGTCAGCCACTTGTAATATAAGCAAACACAAATTAAATCCTTTCAACGGGGTGTGGCCCCGTAGTTTTTCCTATTTTCAGAATTTTCACGTAAAAATTCTGGTGTTCCGTTTTTTTTATTTATTTATTCTGTTTGAGTGCTAAATATCCGTACAATATTAAGACGAAAAATTTTCTAACTCTATCACCGTATATATTCTACCTTGCAACAAGAAGGTTGCCAAATTGGTGAAATTTGTTGAGTAACTCAGTTTTAACTTCAAAGAGCATAAAGATCGCAGAATGTCATGCCGTTTCTGACATTTTGGACACCGCTTTTGGGACATTTAGGCCATTTAAGGCAAACTCACACACACAACGCATACACATAGACTCGAACCCTGGACCTCTTAATTGGAAGCCTAAGCTCTCAACCAATGGGCCAAGGAGAGTTGGACACCGCTTATTTGCACCAAAATCTCAAAGACTTTTCATGAAAGATTGCAATTAATGCGCAATCAATATCTGGAACAAAAAGATTCACAGTTCACTCTTTTAGGAAAGAAATGCATACAGAAATCGAGAAATGGTAGCCCATTTTATTCTAAGAAAAGCATTTCCATAAGGCTTCAAGGCTTACCACCAAGTTAGTGACGACCTATTAACTGATTTATGGGACATCGTTAACTACGTGATCTCGATTTTGACTTTTCTCTAATTAACCCAAACTTCTTTTTAATTAAAATAATTTATTGAGTCATCTAGGTTGAAAGTAGATCTAATTTAGGTCTGCCTGTCTTTTTGACCTGTTTATTAAATGGTTCTAATTTGAGTCAATTTGATTTAGATCAAAGAAATTTCAGTTTAGATCTAAATCCGACCCGATAACCTATTTTAATACACCTTAAACCACCAATCACATTGCACTGTTACTCAAAATTTGATAGCAAAATATGTGAAAGCATCAATACTATATGTATCTAAAGGCCAAAATTTTTCCACAAAACTATTTTCAAAAGAAAAAAATATTTTGACCAAAATTTCTCAAACACTTATTCTTAATGATTTAACATGATAAATTATAAAATAAATAATAACTAATCATAAGTTTATAAATAAACAAATAATATATCACCTAATATATGATTTAATATTTTTATGGCCCTATATTAAAAATTTTCCAACAAGTTAAAAAAATAAACCTCCAACTCCGTCAAAAAAAATGGGGAAACAAAATCAGTCTTTGCATTAACGGTGATAAGAGGATGGAATTACGCTGTTTCGCCTGCAGGAGATTCCGACCAGTAGATCCATGAGCTTGGATAGCATCGCCTACGCAAAGTTATCAAAATTCGAAAACAGTTGTCAAATAAGCACGTGTTAGAATACCCGGAAAGCTATGCGAAGGGGGAGAGATTGGCACCGGAGACGAAGAGGACAGCCGCAGAAGAACCGCCGAGGAGCACGAATAGCGCGGCTCGGAGGAAGAAACGTCGCGTTAGATTCATCTGCATATTCTCAGTCTTATTAATTAGTTCTCAATCCTCGCCTTCTCTTTCTCTGAATTAAAACCGAGATCGAAGTGGAGGATGGAAAGGGGCCGACGACGAGAAGAAGAAAAAGGCTTCCCTTTTGTCTTTTGAGGTGGCTGAAGGAGTCAAAGTCAAGCGACGGTGGAAGAGAATAGGAAGGCGGAATAGCTCTTTAGTAGGATAAATTATTTGGTGCTGAGTGGGGACGTAGACTCTTAATTAATTTATTTTATGCAGTTATGTGGATTTGTTTACTAAGGGCATCTTCAAACGAAAATTTCTTTTTTTACTTCAAAATACAATGAAATTAAAAAATATCATGATTCACTTACAATCAAACACACAGCTCATCTTGGCCTGTTGGTTGAGAGCTTATGCTTCCAACTAAGAGGTCTTAGGTTCGAGTTTTTGTGTATGTATTGTGCGTGAGTTTGCCTTAAATGGCCTAAATTTCCCAAAAAAAAAAAACTACAATCTAACTCCATTTTCCGTGCTTCTGAGAAGGTAGCCGGCCATCTTTCTTCTCTTTCGGGGGTTTCTAAGGCAAACCAGGTTGAGACAAAAAAATCAAGTAGATGAACGATGCAACGCCAATATTGATATCGCACTGTTCACCATCCAACGATTAGCGATTTTTTTGCCTTTCAAATGGAGCAAATCAGCTACGCCTTACAATCATTTATAGTTCGGCTGGAGATGCCCTAACGCATGACCCAATGATCCGGGCCAGTTATGAGATAAATATTAAAAAAAAAAAAGGAGCACATGTGTTGTCTCTTTCAATCCTGAAATCACTCAGACAAAAGTTTTAGAGCTTTGCTTTCGAAATGTCGTTTTTCATCTTCAAAAAAATTTCTCTCTTCACAAACCGCTCTTTATCTTTAATAAATCTCTATCCTTTTTGTTTACTGTTTAGGACAAGCTCAGGACCAAGCCGGATCGAGCGTTAGTAAAAAAAATTAAGTGTCTGTATAAAATATATTAACTCAAAAAATATGTGTCGATTATGAATTGGAATCTGAACGTATTAATTTTTCCTTTTAGTAATTATAAAGAGTAAAGACGCGTATTTTTTTTTTAGGGTTTAGTAAGCGATAAGTCTTCAAAAATTAGTTAAATGTATGGTTCAGAGAATATTTTCCTTTCAATAATTCACTTAAAACGCGTACTTGGAGCTCTTTGGTGGACCCCTGATTCTTCTGTACCTGCGGAAATCTTCAACACACCAACGCCGGGACGGGATGACTAGAAGACTGGAAAATAGCTTCAATGTCGGTAATCAGTTAATTTAATTATCAGAAAATTTTCAAAATAGTCATCAAATTATTTGGGTATGATCAATTTAATTAGAGAATATCACATTGCTACAATTTAATTCCTCATCTTCATAAAATTAATCTAAAATAATCTCTCATATTGTAATTATGATTTAAAATTAATCCCAATTTAACCCTCGAATTCACTGGCGGAACCATTTGATGGTTAGAGGGGGCAATTGCCCCCCCTCAAAAAAAAAAAAATTTTTTTTTTAGAAGAGTAAAAAAAAAAATATTATAGGAGAGTAAAAAAATTTTTTGCCCCTCCTTAAAAATTATTTTTGCCCCCCCTAAAATCTCTTTTGTCCTAACTTGCCCTAAAATATTTATAAATTTCTTCACATTTTGTTCTAATATTCTTTTTCATGTTTTTCATGACAGTTTAATTACACATTTTTTTTCTTTATTTTTCTTGCTTAAATTTATTTAAAATTTTTTACATAATATATAGATATATAATATTATTTTTTTAATATTTAATTATTTTTGTGTTGTATTTGCCCCCCTCAAAATTGAAGTCGGTTCCGCCCCTGCTCGAATTATACAAAATTACTCACAAATTAATTTTAACGGGATCATTTTGAATCAATTTGTATAGTTGAATGATTAAATTGAAAGAACGTTGGTCATATGTGAACAGTCATAGGGATTATTTTGAAATTTAATCTATTTAACAATTATATATTTTAAAAGTTATTGTTGCTTAAAATTTATCTTAAGAAAAAATATGTGAAATGCTACTCATGCAATGTATCATAAACAATGTGTCA